ATCAAGGTTTAAATAAATTCAGATAAAATGATATTTTTATAAGATCTGACAAAAAAAAATTGTTAAAGACGAGGCAAATGACCTAAAATGGATGAAAATGTGGTATCTAGCAAAAATTTGTACGAGTTGAATAAGAAAACGCCAAGTATTTAATATATTTACTTGTTAACAATATTATATTCGATTGAAACTATCATATATTAATATCACTAGGTATAAGACTCATGTATTACATGTGTTAATTAAAAAAATTAAATATAAAGATCTAAATATTTAAGAACTTGGGATTTATAAAAAAATAAGAAAAATAATGAATTATTAAAATTGATTTTTTTATCTTTTAAATTTAAATAAATAAACAAAATAAACTAATGAGTTTTAATTTGAGAATTTTAAAATAAGAAGGTAAGTCCATTAATGAAATTGATATTCATTTATTACTACATTTATCGTAATTATTACATTAAAGTATTATGTGAAATTTATAAAAATAAAAAAACTCATTAAATGACATGTGGAAAAGAAATTAATTCAAAATAACCACAAAATGACATTTGATAAATTGAATGAGAGTGTGACATGTGACAAAAAAAATATTCATTTATTATAGTAGACTAGGTGTGAAACCCGTGTATTACACAAGTTGATTAAAAATAATTATATATGAAGATATAAATATTAAGTATTTTTTTTAAAGAAAACATTAAATATCAAAATGTAAACATTAAGTATTTTTTAAAATAAAATTTCAAAATATATACAAACAAAATCATGAATAAATAAACAATTCAATTTATACTAATAAAGCAGAAAAATCATTATATTTTGACCATTTAAGTTTTTTTTAGTTTGTCAATAAAAAGCAACAAAGTTTGATTATTTTTTCTATATATACCATTTTACCTAAAATGACAATGAACTTAAAAAAAACATGTCAATTTTGAGTTATATATTTTGAAGGCAACACATTAAAATTTGAAAATATAAGGAAACAAATTAATGACACATTAATTACTTTCTATAACCTAACAATTAGATAGTTATTTAAGAAAATCAAAAATTATCACAAAATGACAAATGTAAATTAATTTCTAAGAATTAACCACAAAATTATATGTGTCAAAATGCATGAAAATGTGACATGTGGCAAAAAGATTTTTATTTATTAGTATGGATTAGAGTAGATTTATTAGAGTAGATTTTAATTTTATTATTGGATTTCAAACTTAATATAAAATCGTAATAACATTCAAGTTTGATTTTTAGTTTCTATATAGGCCCTGCTTTATAATTTCAAATTCAATAACTAGTTTATTTGGGCCTTCATATTACTTATGGAGTTTACTTGGGCCATACTTTTGGACAACTTAAACAAAATATATATATATATATATATATATATATATATATATATATTATATATATATATATATATATATATATATACACGAGAATTGGATAGTAGGGTAAGGAAATACGACGTCATGATGTGTAATCGTTTGGACATTTGTGCCTCGTAAACATTGCTACTACAATCATGATAATTTAAATCCACTAAAGTACAAGTATTTTGGTAACTTGTATTGTAATAAAAGTGTAAGATTTATCAAAAGAAACAATTCTAAACATAGAGTTGAAGGAACCATATCATATCATATAATATTATAATCACACGTATAAGAAAATAGAAAGAAATATTTGGAATCTGTATCATAATTTATTAACTTTACATATTTATTTATTGGAAGAGACTTGAACTCCATATGGTGGTGCAGGAGGTCCGTAATACTGAGGAGTTATTGCTTCTTTGCGAGCACGATTTCTTCCAAACAGATAACATCCAATCGCAGCAATCAAGAACAATAGGATTAGAGGCAACGATATCACAATAACAAACCCCATCGATTTAATTCAAACCTTTTCTTGCTCAAACAAACTGCGATCATATCAACAACATTTATTAATCAATGATGCAAGGATTCCCATTTTAGAATTTAGGGTAGCAAAAACACACAAACTAAAAGGGCTAATCACATCTTAGTTGAAGATCAATTAAGATTTGACCCTTGATTTACTCAGATTTGCAATTTGTTTATTTCCCTTGGACGGATACTAGTAACTGTGCATCACTAGAGCGAACTAGCTTTCACTTTCGGGTTCAATTTCAAATAACGTATGATAAATTCTGCAACTTATTAAGGGCACCCTGTGAATTAATCGATTAATTTTGATCTGAAACTCCGCATATTTCCGGCGATGAATTTGTTGATGAACAAGTGAAACGAAAACTATGTTTTAGTGATTGCTCAGATTTGGATCAGTGCATATAACTGTATATAAATTCACTTTCATCGGAAAAAATAGATCGATTAATCCAAACATAAGCAGAAAAAAAAATCCAAGACGAGTTTGCAGAGAATTGAGATCAAACAATTGCCGAATTCGCGCTAAAAACAGAGGGGAAAAAACATTGAACTTTGAAGGTGGTTGTATGATTCAGTTACTGAAAACTATGAATATTAAATTTCCACAGACGTACCTCTAATTTCTGCTGGGAGCTCTCCTCCGGAGAAAGAGAGAGATGGCTGATGAGTGATCAGGGGGAAAATTGTCACGAAAAGATGCTTCTGGGCTGATGTATTTATGTGCGGTGCAACTACGCGGCTTCTTATCGTTTTTACCGGATGCTTTAAAAAAATGGGTTTAAAAAATCGGTTTGAACCGGTGGGTCGAACGGTTAAACCGGAAATCAGGTAAATGAGTATTAGCCATGATTTTATGTTTATTTTTGGAGCGAAATGAACCAATTGGTTTTTGGTTTTTACAAAAAAAGAAAAAAAAAACCCGGGTTAAATGAGACAGGTTAAATTGAATAAAACCACATGGAAATAAAATATTTTGCATAACAAACTTAAGTGGTTTTTTCATATCCATTTAGACTTTTTTTTTTAAATTAAATAAAAACACATGACAAACGTTATGAAGCGTGTGTATTCATCTAAGACTATATTTTGTTTCGATATTATACTTTATTTTCTTTTTGATGTATGTAGATTGATGTAAAACTTATGGTTATATGATTTTTTTAAATTTATTTGGAGTGATGTACAACTTGTTTTTATGTTTATTTTAAATGTTTTAACTTTTTTATATGTGTATTTTTAATGTATGAACTTATTTATTTGTGTGTGCAGAAAATTAAAAAAAAAACATGAAAAATCTAGAAATCCGGTTGAACGGACCGTTAAATATCAGTTGAACTGAGAACCGGTCACCATATCGGTTCAATTAAAAAACCGGTTTTTAAACCATTGTTTTTTCCTAAAAAATAATTTAGATTATTGAAGTATAAGAATACTAAAAGTTAATTAATTATGTAAATTAGAATTATTATTTATAACAAATTGTCTTACGAATTACATAAAATAATTAAGATATCCCTAATTTTATTTAGTTGTTAAGTTGAATTATAGAAATGTTTGATATACGAATTGAATTTCATTTTAAGTTTGACTATATTTGTAATGTTTTTTTATAATACACTTAATAAAATGGAGATATGGACTGGGTAAACCTGTGTGTGTGTGTGATGAGCACTTTAAGTCTTATATCACTTGAAATGAAAGAAGGTTAATGTTATCTCGGGTTTGATATGGAGGATATGATTTGATAGTCAAGTTTGATTTTGAGCTAAGAACTGATGCTTAAAAGAATGAGACAGAGAGTAGAGTGTTGTAAAGATCTTGTTTAGCTTGGAGATTTTACTTTGGTGTATATAGATGAGTGATAATGATACAGAATATACTTAATGGAAATAGTCAAAGCTAATATCAACACGTCGAACACTTTGAGACCATGTTTATAATATCTTAATCCTAACAATAAGCATAAGAATGAAAAAGAAATAAAATAGAATCATAAAAATTAACTATTGGAGCTCCCATATTTGGCCCAAAAAAGGCACACTTGAAAACACGATCATACCACTTAGATCCTGAGAAAGGCTGGTACATTGAGCACATGGGACCTTTACAGTCTTGAGGCCAAACTAGTATGGGTGCCCCTTCATTGGTGTGTCATTGAGGAAAAGCCCTTCAGCCCCAATAGGTTCTTCCGTACGTTTGCATCATAGTCCAAGTATCGGATGTCAGGGTGTTCAATTTGTGCAATACTTATGAACGTCCTCATGCCCTTTTCACTGTGTTTCTTGCATTACCCCCCTTCATTGAAAGGGGACCTGACCTTTAGCATTATTTAACTTCGTTCATACAAATCGCAATCTCCACATCCTTCACTATATCCAACAGACCTGACCTTTAGTTTGTCCTTGTATAATGGTTTTCTTTTTTTTTAAATGATAGGAAATCACCTAACACTTGTCAAGAATCAGAACATATCTAATGTCACTTATCAAGTTTTGATGACTATTGTTAGGAAGTAATACGGATAACAAATGAAACTAAAAGCACATAAAGACATTATTTATGTGGTCCGGTCAAGATGACAAGCGTGTATGGGTAAGAAGAGAGTATTCTTTATTTATGATTTCTCAAACAGAAATTACAAAAATTATTCAACAAAGATTCGTCTACTCACTAGAATTCAAAATACAAATAAATAACTAGCGGATATCTTTATTTATAGACTATGGATTAGACCTAAAATAAAAAGATCATTAACCCATAGACCAATAAAAAGTGTCAACTAATCGCAATCCACTATAATCCCTTCTTTAATAGTTATTTATTTCAAAATTTTTTTAGTAATTGTTTCTAACTCTAGATATAGGTTACACGATTAATGCAAAACAATATCTTTCGGCTTTATTTTAGTTTCTTCTAACAATTTCATACATCTAAATTTGAATACAAGAGCATAGAAATGGTTTAACCACTACTTGGTTGATATCCAAATCCATTTTCTATTTTCTTTAGCTTTCAACCGGTTTAATTCATGAGTCACCCCAATAACCATTGAATTATGGAATACCATTCAGTCTATTGACAGGTAAAAACTATGAAATCATTAATTAATCGCTACAAAAACAATGACAAAATTTTGGAATAATTGGCATAATTTTTTGTTTCCAATTCCATTCCTTCAATAACCTCTTCAACAACATCAAAACTCCAAAGAAAGAAAATCAACCATCGATTCCTTTTTGTCGTCCACGTAAAAACATTTACAAACCACATAACGACAACAACCTCCTTTCTAATCTCGACTCCCAAACCCAAACAAAACTGGGCATTTCGGGTCAATCACAATCACAACCCATAAGATGCTGACAAGGCAGTCTTGTGGGGCCCATTTAATCCATCTGGAGTCATTGCCGGCTTATTCGACAACCGCCGTTTATATCGCTTGAGAACAGACGCCAAGTTCTCTTTTCCTTTCGGGAACGCCACGTCACCCGCCGCAGTCCCTGTTCGACCTTTTCTACAAGAAATCGCAATCTCCACATCCTTCACTATATCCAACAGACTGGCGGCCGTCGTACATCTACCCTTGCTCTGTTTCGCCGGCGGCGGAAGACTGGTTGCTGATTTCGGCGGAGACACCTTTCGCTGCTGGTAGGAAGTCGGAAGTTGCAGACAGAAACATGGATTCATTGCGGCCCGTGGTTTGGAGAACGCTAGCTCTAGGATACCCTAAAACAATCACACAACAATATACTCAAAAATCCGATCAACACAAAATCCGATCATCGGGGATAAAAGAAAAACGTTACCTGAAGACGATTAAGAACATAAGTGTATTTCCCCCAAAGCTCCGGCCGGCTTTCCATGAGCGAAAGCTCAAGAACCCTATGTATACACCACACACCAAAGCTTGTTATCAAATCAGCCCTCCAGACACAACCTTCCCCACAATTGGGAATCGAGGTCACCAGATCGATTTTCATCCCCGAATCGCCGCCGTGAGGCGCCCCGTTCATCTCCTTACTCTCGACTTCATACAGGAACCGCTCCCTAGCGGCTACGCGGTCAACAAGGTCTTCGTCAAGACCACTGTTCTGCTGAAACAACCAATCGGATCCTTCAAGTTTCAAGAGCTTCACGATACAAAGCCTCAAAGATTTCAGAAGATTTGCTTCTAAATCAACCCCAGAACCAATTTCTTGACTGTTTAAATTCATCCTACTGTTGTTTGATTTTTCGGCTACACCAAATTGTTCGAAAGGTTGTCTGGACCAAATGGACCATGTATCTACTCCTGAACTTAACTGGTAAGAACCGGCATAGGCGGAAGGAGCCCCGGATCTATTATACGAAGGGCCTGAATACATCGACAGATCATGCATTTTCCGGCCTAGAGTTCCATCACGAGGAAGCGAGGGCATACTGTAATATCTCTTCTCGTTTACATTGCTATGCATCGTTTCAGGATACTGATTCTGGTATGACCTTTCTGGTTGCATTGAGCTGTTCCTGGACACAACCGGATCTGGAAACCCAGGTGGCTTTGCTGGGCTCACACCGTTTTGCAGACCTTTCGTTAAAGAATACGGAGCTTTATAGTTTGCTGAAGAACCAAATGATGGTGATTTTGGGGTTAGTGACTCCATTTGATTCATATAAGACTTGATTTGATACCCATGAACAGTAGCTGGTTGATCATCGAACCCAACAGAAGCTTGAGGAATTCGAAGACCATTAGAAGATGATTGAAGACGGAGGCTATGGTATCGCTTTTCACCAGGGTCCATCACATTGAGATTTGATCGTTGTGCATACGCGTCTAGTATTTGCTTTTGGTTCGATAACAATGAAGACGAGCTTGGGCCCAGGTGAACCCCGTAAATCGAATCGGTAGTCGTTTGCACACTCTGATGTGGTGTTGCCTTCGAATTCATGTTCACCTTAGAATTGATTCCGAGTAATTTGTCAAGTTTTCTTGCTTTTGCTTCCTGCGTTGGTTCACCATGGAAATCGAAAAGTTGGCCCCAAAATTCGTCAAGAACTGCAGCTAATTGGCGCCTTGCAGCCCGACCCAATCCGGCTAACTTTGACCAACTTCCGGTGCCGCTACCCACATCATCGTGTTTCAAACCGAGACTTCTAAACGATCCTGGTCCTTCGGGTGATACTGCTAAATGGTTCGTTTCAGAGACTACTTTAGGTGATTCTTCTATCTGCCATGGATTTGTTGAATGTTCTTTCTGTGAATTCCCGTCTATACTCAACGTCTTTTCGATCGATTCAGATTCTTGGTTTTTCAAGTTGCTTCTATCTTCAACGCCTGGAACAGCTGTTCCTGTTCCTGATTCCTCTGGTGGCGATGATGGTAATAAGATATCAGATGAATGTTCATCTATGGTAGTCAAACGAGAACCTTTCTCAGGTTCCATGATTTCTTCAGGCAAATCAAGCTGACGAGTGGATTTTTGTGAATCTGAATGGTACTCCGGTGATGTTTCCTGCTCAATTCCATGTTGGGTCCTCTCATTCAGTGATGAATCGTGAACAATTTCTGGTTTCGAACTTGCAGACTGCAAAGGGGTTACCACAAGCCAAAGCATAAGAAAGAATGAAAGAGACGCAGTGAGAAGAAGGACAGAATAAGGACTTGAAATCGATCCACCACTGCCTAAATTCCATCTGATATTACTTGCCCAATCGCTGTTTCCAAACATCATTTCAACCACAAACACAATTGCTAGACTGAGCATCCCAATAAACGTGATCAACACAAAAAACTCGAGAACCCTAGAAATTTTATTCACCCCCATTACCGATCTTGATGTTGCAATCCGAAAAAGGGGAATCACAGATGATGGAAGCAAAAGAGCCACCAAAATCTGAGTGAAGATTAGGAGCTGATATGTACCCTCTGCCCCAGATTGCCATGAACATAAGAGAGCTAGAATAATGGTGATGAATCTGATTGTTGAGTGATGAAACCATCCTGGGATGTTGATTTTGAAGAAATCATGAAGAATAGGTTGACCACCGAATTTCCAGGTCAACGCTGTAGTATGATTTGAAAGCAACAGGATCACTATCAACGCAAAAGATCCAATCACACCCCTAAATACCTGCCATAAAAATCGTGATCTGTAAAACAGGGATGAACAAAAGGGCATTTTCGAAATGTAAAATCTTGAATAGCATCAAACCTGATCCATTAAAGACAAGGCATCTTGAAAAGTAAGCAAATCAAGCCCAGAACTGTAGAAAACATTTGCTGCTGAGTTCATTAGAACATAATTTACAAGAAAAACACCACTGAAAACACCCGAAATGGCGAAAAGATGATCAAGACACAATGCTCCTTTTGAAACATGTTCTTGTCCCTGATTTTGCTGAAAAAAAAGAAAACAATAACTCCATTAAAGATTATTCCACATGAAAATATGCAACTCAAAGATAAAGATGAGTTACCTTCACAATAGATGAATGAAGATAAAAATTATGAGGCATAATACTTGCACCAAGAAGACTAATCAATGCCAAAACACTTTCCCCATTAAATCTTGTTAGCATGCCACCACTCATGGAGAGTGATGTATCCGGTTGACTCACAACCACACCAAAAAGATAAGAAAGTAACGCAACCGTTGCTAAACACATGCACATAAACTTAGCTTTACCACTCTCCTAAATTAAAAATCACACCAAATTAGTTATAAAATAAATGATTGATTTAAGGAAAAAGTTCCATAAGAAACCACAACTTTACACAAAACCAAAATACCAGGCGATTCACATGATTTACATGTTCACATGTGATCCCTTTCTGATGCACATGTGAAATTGTGAATCGTCTGGTTTCTTGGTTCAATCAAAAGATTGAGCTCATTGACTAATGTTTACCAACAAATTGGAGAAAATAGGGAATAGAAAAGCATCGAAAGAAGTCAAGAAAACACAAGTGAACAACCCCATGCCGAACATCAAGTTAAGTCCATGTGCTACGCCCAAAATCTATCAAAATACGCGTATTTATAAGTTAACATTTAAGAAAGTATAATGGCGAAACCATAATAATTGAGAGGGATATATATAAAGGGTGTAATACCATAGAAAGATCTAAAGCAATCATGGAAAGTTCGGCTTCGATCCCTAAGAAGATACACGTTAATGCATCGTACTCTGAACTACATATCTACATGAGTAAAAAGAATCAAGATAACTTTATTAACTCCATAATTCAAGAAATTATGAAACAAACCCATGATCCAAAAATCAAGAATTCAGTTATACCTGTGCAAGATCTTTTCCAGTGACCACTGCAATGGAAGCTGAGAGGTATTGACAAAGAACAGCAGATAAACTAAAGACAGACATGGGTATGATTAGATCGTACCCAAAACGGGCCCCACCTTCGATTGATGCAACCCATTTTCCAGGATCGATGTATGTAATTGCTATGAAAAGTACTGGTAAAACAGCAGGAAACAGTCTCTGTAGGACGCTGGATTTGGGTTTTGAGATTAGGGCATCCGTGTCCATTTCAGAAACTTTAGTAACAAAAATTAAATTATAAATTTGGAGTCGCCTGATGATCAATTAGAAGGTCACATAATAGGCACTCCCACTGCAGAAAAAAAATAATAATCAAGAATCGGTGACAACTTTAAAAAGAATCAAAAGCATGAAACATTTCTATAGCGAATTGAAAAACTAAAGAGTCATGTTACACAATCTAAAGATATAACATACTTATAACGCTCTTGAATTGACTTACGAAAACCCACTCCAAAAGAATTTACGAAAACATTTTGATATACTAAATGCATCGATGAAAGTTGTATATAGAACAGAATAACATAAAAGTAACTCCTTTTCAAGAAATATGCATAAAAGCATAAAACTTTGCAAGCAACCCAGATCTCCATCATCGCCATAAAACCCCAAAACTCCCAAATTTAATGAAGTTTGTGGAAACTGAAAAGTGAAAACCCCACAAATATGAAGCCTGGGATCTATCTGATTAGATTGCAGACCTGTACCTATCTATCTAATAAAGATTCAAGAAAACTAGAGCAAAGTCAGCAAACCCATGTCATGAAAATTAGAAAATAAAAAGTCAAACAGGACTTATCAGAGTATTAAATACGTTATAGATAGGGTTTTATCATTGCTGTTATTACAAAGCGGTTATCTTTTCTGGCTTTTCTTGATGTTACCTTTTTGAGTTCCGATGAGAGCTTGAGAAAATCAAGAATCTGTCATATGTTCAGAGCCGATCAGATGGGGTTTAAAGATCGTAGGAAAGAAAGGAAAAGATGTTTCAGAGATGGAGAGAGGAAGGGGTATAGATATAGATGTGTGTATGTATATATAAGATATACAGTGGCCTAGGGAAGCTATCTTGTAGTCGGAGAAAGGGAACTGAGAGCCTATGAGAAGAAGAAGAGAGATGAATTTCTCCCACTTGTGACTTTAAAAAGAGTAGCTTTTTTAGGGCACGAGTATATAGAATTCAGTGATAATTTGTATTTTGTAGTGATAATAAATGTTTTTAAAAAATTGCCATTTTTAATACCCCAAATATTTACAAATATTTAATTCTTTATAACATGCTTAAAAGTATCGTTTTTTTAGAGTCATGATACATTTGTAATTGTTATTTAAATAAGATACAATAAGATACACGAGACCATATTCAAATAACTATATTTTTACATTAAAAATTGTATATGTATTGATATAGTGATTTATTTTCGATACTAAGTATAAGATTCATGTATTATATGAGTTAATTTTATATATATATATATATATATATATATATATATATATAAAAGTCTAAATATTTAAAAACTTTGGATTTATAAAAAAAATAAGAAAAATAATGAATTATTAAAATTGATTTTTTTATTTTTTAAATTTTAATAAATAAACAAAATAAACTAATGAGCTTTTTGGAATTTTGAAATAAGAAGGTACGTTTGTTAATGAAATTGATATTAATTTATTATTACATTTATTGTAATTATTTATTAAAATAGAAAACCAATAAAATGACATGTGGAAAAGAAATTTATTCAAAATAACCACAAAATGACATTTGACAATTTGACATGTAGCAAAAAAAACATTCGTTTATTAGAGTAGATATTATATACATATAAATGATTTAAGTGTTTTTTATATGGATTTCAAAATATTGGTTGTTTTATCACTTTTTCATAAATTCATCTTACATATTTTGATTTTTTTTAATAACTAAATTACTAAGAGCTAGACAAACAAACGGATAATATCTATTGGACATTTATAAAAAAATTGCATTATAAATGTCATCTTTATTGAGTTTTATGGAATCAAAATGTTAGTATTTTGGAAAATCCATAAAAGCAAAAAAAAAAAAAAAAAAAAGTAGTGAGGATAACACAACACAACAGGGGTTTCATTTCCGTATTATAAGAAGACGCATGCCTTATGGGACGAGATATCGTTGGTATCCTTGACACCTCGATGCATATGTGGTAATTGCACATGTAGAATTAAGAGAATATTAATTGAATCAATAGAAAATGGGAACAAATTCATGATGGGACTAAATAGCAACTTCTTGACCATAAGGGACTCAAACTCTGGCAATGAAACGACACATACATGTATGAACTATCATCTTGATGCTGAAGATGAACATCAAAGAGTCATCTCGATTATAAAGAAACCTACCATTAAGAAAATCGCCTTACAGATGCACACGTATGGAAGCTAGGAGGTTGGGAACGACACCAAAATTCAACGCAATATAAACTTACAAAGGTGTTCAAGACAGAGTGATTGGGAATGCACTTTCTGTGGAAAATGGAAAAAAAATCATGGAAATTAGGTCAAGAGAATAGGATATTCATAGTGGTAGGCAAGAAAAGGAAACAAGAAAAGAACAGACCCAAAATGGATTGTGTTGACGTGGAGACAAGTCTAATACTGGGTGTGACAACCGACTAATATTTGAAATTGGTAAAACACTTTTCTAAGGGAAACCACTCAACTCAGGACAATCTTCCTTCAGTGAATATGGCTAGTAAGGCTAATTTCAATAATGCATGGATTATACATACTAGTACTAGCGATCACATGGCTTCTGACTATGAGCTTTTCAAAACCAAATGAGGATGCAACCATGGAATGGAGATTACCATACCCAATAGGGAAGCGACATATGTTGAGGGATCTGATAGTTTCACATTGTCGAATGGATTAATAATTTAAAGTGTTTTGCATATCCCGAAATTCAAATGCGCCCTTTTATCCATTAGTCACTTAACAAAATATTTAAATTATTATGTAACATTTTCTGCTTCTTTTGTCATACAAGGCTTACAGTTGATGAATCTAATAGGATTAGGTGAGTGCAAATATGGTCTTTATCGAATGGATTCGACGCCGAGGAAAAGGAGGGCAATTATGGCTACGGTCAACATCAACGTTTGACATATGCCTTTGAGTGTAAATCCATCATATTGATTTTTTGGTAGTTTTTCTCATGTTTTAAGTGGTAGAGTTTGTGATTCTAATGTAAAAGCTAAGCACACCATATTACCATTTCCATATGGCTCAATTAAAACTTTCGATTGTTTTGATTTAATACATTACAACATATGTGGTAATTATCACATACCTTCCCTATTGGGAGCTTGTTACATCCTAACCATCGTTGATGGAAAAACACTATGGTTTAAGCATATTGGTAGCTAGTATTCGTCCTTCAAATTTCACTCCTATTACAATAAGATATTATAATTTAGAACTTAGAGACAAAATCAGCCCTCCTTCATCATTTTATTTTTGTTTTACAATAAGGTTTTAAAAAACTAGATGGTGGAAAAAGAAAAAAGAAGGTATATATGACAATTGTTTTTTTTAACAAAAGAAATTGACTTACAAAATTTTATAGATGAACATTATAAAGTAAGGTTGTATGATGATTGAATGTTCAATGAACAATATAAAAGTGTAGGAACATATTTTGATGTCTCATCCCATGATATACATTGGGCCTACACTAACTTGGTTGTACAATACAAGTAAATACGTGGGCTAAATGTACAACATAGTTTAATACTCCCTTATAATTGGAGCGAGAGGATGAAGACGAACAATCAAACTGGAATGAAAGTATATGAAAAGTGAACATGGAAGTCCCTTAATGAAGATGTCAGCGTATAAGAGACTCGAAGGAATATGTAGAACTTTAACCTGCCCAGTGGCGACCTTGTCCCGAACAAAATGCATTTCAATCTCAGTATGCTTCATTAGTTAATGTTGGGCGGGATTGGTTGAGAGATACATTGTAGTGACGTTGTTCCAATAAACAATGGTGGCTTTAGAGAGAGGACAATGAAGCTCGTGTAAAAGATTATGAAGCCAACAAATTTCGGAGACCGCATTGGTCACCCCTCTCTACTCGGATTCAGCACTAGATCGGGGAACTGTGACATGCTGTTTGGATGACGAAGAAATAAGGTTGTCCCCAAGATAAACACAATAACCACTAGCAGGTCGTCTGGAAGCGGAGCAACCTCCCCAATCAGCATCATAATAGGCTAGAAGTAGTCGATGCGTGAAGTTGAAAGCCATAGTCAAGTGTACCTCGAATGTATTTAAGAATCCGTTTGAAAGCATGAAATTGAGGCTCTCGTGGGTCGTACATGTAGAGACATATATGTTGAACCACAATGGCAGTGGCTGACCGGATGAAGGTTAAATATCGATGATCACTAGCGAGGTTGCAGTATAAAGGAGAGTATGTGACTAGAGAACCCGAAAGATCAAGTTTTGACTGAGTATCGGCTGGTGTCCAGCAAGGATTGCAATCTAACATATTAGTGCGCTGAAGTAAGTCAATGGCATATTTGCGTTGGGACAGATGAAGACCGGATTTATTCTTAATTTCCGCAATACCAAGGAAATATGATAAGAATATCAGTCATTGCAAACTTCGCTAACAACGATGTGATGATATGCCTCAAGATATCCATAGAAGATGTAAGGATAATGTTATCAACATATGATCCATAAAAGATGTTGTAAGGATGATGTCATCAAAATATAAAATCATAGAGGCAATGTATTTTCCCTTTTTAAATATGAACAATGAAGAGTCGGATTCGCCGTGTGAAAAACCAATCCGTGTGTCTTTTCAAGTTTGTTTGTCTTTTTATTTGTTGGACACAACAAATATATACAAATGACTTTGTTCATTTATTTTTTTAAATAAATCTACACAAAAAATGTCTCGTTTGTGAAGGTTTGGTAACTTGTTCGTTAATATTTGTCCATATTGTTAAGGTACGCGTTTGTTCGTTAGGAATAGTCTATGTTGCTATCGAAGATACTATTTACACTTTGTTTTTATTACCTAACTAGGTGTAAGACTCATGTAATAAATGGGTTAATTAATATATATATATATATATATATATATATATATATATATATATATATATATTATATATATATATATATATATATATAAATGTCTAAATATT